ATATTTATACACATATACATATATGCACAAACACAATTGTATATTTTTTTGATATCGTAAATAAACAACCAGACCTGACATGGCTCGTTACTTCAGTTATTCCTGGCTGTGCAGTGTCCATTTCACTATTATGATCAATCGATGCTGCTCAATCAATCTTCTCCCCTCCCAAAACAGAAACTAAAGCTAAAAATTGAGAAATCAATACCGAACGTTAATATTGACCCACTTTTACATATCGGACCGATATCGATATTCTAAAAAATGACCAATGTCGGCCGATACTGAAATTAATGTCGACACACCACGTATCCCTATTAATAAATATTTTCATCAACTAGAATCACATAAAACCCTCCTCCCCCCTTGATTTTACCCTCATTTGGTTTGCWGAGAGTGATCTCCATGTTACTGAAGAGCAATTATTACCTTTTTAGACTAATTTGAACAGAATAATAACAAAAAATATTTYCTCTCTGGGCAGGTGATGTTTGGTAAAATCTTATTAGGTCATTCTTGTTATAAGTCTTGGTAAAACTGCCTTTGACAGTGGCTACATTTGTTTTTATAATTACTTCTTTTTCTAATAAAACTGAAGTCAGCTGAAGTTGGTAATATGTTTTGTTAGAAAAGAGAAGCAGGCCTGAGGTTGGTCTAGTTTTAACTTCTCACTCTGTTGGACTGACAATCAAACATTCTGCCATGGAAAAAGTGTGAATGCTTCCAGGCCCCCATAGATGGGGTAGAGACCCCAATGTGGATTTTAAATCTTCAGATAATTTCCAGTAGTTATATTAAATTTAAAACCCTGAAACAACATTGGATTTCTTATTTATTAATTCATGCACATAGTGCTGTCCAACTTCTGTCAATGTACTTATCACATTGGTCATATAAGGTGCTTTCAGACCACCGGGGACCACTTCACAAACCTTATAATTACCTGAGGTAGTTTGCTTTTTATCTTTTCACACTGGCTGTGCTGTGGTCATTAGTAAGTCYTTTGCCTTAGCACCTGATTCACAGTAGGCACTTTCTTGACTTCTGAATGATGAAATAAAGATGGATTCTCTTACAGCGTCCACACTATTAAAACTTCAGTCGTAAAATAAAAGCTTCCTATTGTCACTGATGTCCACGATGACATGCTGTTCTTTGAGCTTGTGCAGCACAAAGTAGACTAATCTGTTGTAAGAGTCTTGGCTTCTACATCTAAATCCTTCTGATTGTAGAGCTCTTTCAAACTCCACTTTAAAAATTTAACCAAAAGACCTGCAACATACAGCTCCAACTATGGAGTCCCCCATAGTTTTTCTTACTGATTGTCATGTGCAAATTTAACGTGGAAGTTGTTCAAGTGTAGAGCAACAGTGTAGCCCCACCTGCTTCGGATGTTATCATTCATTAAATGGACGTTATTAGCCGTTATCAGTCCCATAGACTGGCTTCAGACTGTCCCGACTGTAGGGCTGCCACGATTAGTCGATTATTAAAATAGTCAGTGACTAATTTAATAATCGATCAGTCTTTTTTTTTGTTCTTTACTTTGTTTTTCTCTCCAAACTGCTTTGACACCTTCCACTGCCACATCTGCCTTTCTGTCCTTGACACACATGCACAGTAGTGGTAACTGGGGTAGGCCGTGGACGTCACAAGACATTATACAGACAGGCTCTGGTAACATGACTACCTGACAACGGAGTTCAAAAGTGTGGGATCATTTTAAGAAAATGAAAGAGAAACCTGTGCAATATCTGCAAGGCAGAACTTGCCTTCCACAGAAATTTTGTTTTGTTAGCATATAGCTAAAATCTAACGATGGTTAGTATGAGGCATAAAACCACTAAAGTTTTTATGCAATCTGGTTAATATGAGGCATAAAACCACTCAGGTTAATTCTAGAAAAAATKACATGGGCTGCGATAAAGTAGACCGGACTCTGGCGGTAGCAAATTGTTGCATTCCAACGTATATGCCACTGGTAACCCACTAGGGGGCACTGTCGGGACAGTCTGAAGCCATTCTATGGTAACTGCTAATAACGTCCATTTAATGGACTGATAACATCCAAACCAGCTGGTAGCCCACTGTTGTCAAAGGGCTTTTTCATAAAGCCGTTCTTCAAAATGGCTGCACAGACCAGTTCATCTTTATGTTGTCTCTGGCAACATATACCTTGCCTAAGGGTCATGTCTTACCTTTGCATATGTCAACCTTTTCAGCTCTGGCTTTAACCTCTGTCATCACCTTGGTCCATTCAGCAGTCACACTAAGGCAGCCAGAAGGTGTCTTAAGGGTCCACTATACCAACAAGATGTAAGACATTGGATCTGAGAACAAAATGACCTGATTTTTGTCATACAGCTACATCACTGAGAGAGGATTTCACAGGTTTGGAAGAACCATGCAGAGGTTTGGAGGCAAAACTTTGATGTATTGCTGCATGTAGGCATAAGCAATAGTGCTGCCAGGTAAACAGTCAAGTTGGCTGTTGTTGTACATGTCCATCTGTCTTGTCATCATCATGGCATCATCATGCCTTAGTTAAACAAAAATAAAAAAAACTCTCTCTGTATAGACTGTGTGACTCTTGCACCAAAGACATTAAAGCTCATTTGCATTTCTTGTTTAATTTCAGTACAGAAAACTGTTGATCTCGAAAATGATAAACATTCACTATTTAAATCCCTCAGAGATGGAGTCATTTAGACTCCTAAAACAAACATCGTTATCTTAAACTGAATCCTGCAATGTACAGGGAGGCCATTATACTGTAGGTCTGATGAGATCACACTTTTTCATCCCTGTCAGAAGCTGAGCTGCTGCATTTTATGTACTTTGCAGGTGGATAAATAGTTACAGTATGTAGGAACTGCACAATTCATCCAGTACAGTACATGTTTGGTGTAGAAAGGTACTGCAGCCAAGAGAGGAAACGCTGTGGCTTAAACCACAGAACTGTTATGCTTAGCTAACTTACTTCAGTGTGGGCATCGGATAGCTTCCTGTTTGCCTCCAGTGTGCACTGATAATACCCTCATATGCAACATTTCCTACTCATAATCATATTGCGATTGGAGGGTATTCAAGATAAAACCAGATGTCGGAATCAGTTTTTGTTGACTTTGCAGTTCAGAGATATTCTGCTGCAAAACAGAACAAAACAAAAACACAGTAGAGTTTCACTGTTTAGTGTCATAATTAGTTTCCAAACAGGTGGTTAAATGTTCAGAGGTTTTGAGTTGAAAGCTCAGACCTCGGCTGGTGCTCAGCGGGCCTCAAACCTGCTTGAACGAGGAAGTACATAAAAAAATTAGTTTCACATTGAAGCTCACTTGTGATCACAACACTGTTCCTAAGCACTTTTTACAGCTGAGTCAGTGGACTGACTAAAACAGCTGTTACCAAGTAAATGGGTAACTGAGGGGTAAGGACAGGTTGCAAGAAAGCCATTAAGTTTGCTCCTGCAGGTTGAACTTCACCTCTCCTAAATTCACACAGAAACGCACTGGAAGAGTCTGAACTGAGCTTTGCACAAAGTTACCTTTGTGAGCCTGTTAAAAGCAGTTGGAATGTGGTTGGGTGTGTTTGTTTTCCTTGAGAAAAAGTGTACACTCACACACACACTCACACACACTCACACATACACAGTTTGGCGAGGGAAGCCGGTGATAAGGATCACAGAATAACGCTTTGTTTGGAGGAAAGTCCACCTGGTGTGTGTTTCTAAAAGCTGAAAAAGTTATTGTGACAAAGTTTATGCATGTACTGTATTTAATGATGACTGGAGTCAGGGTCTGAGAGGTGAAACCATCTTGTTTCTTTTTATACACATCAAGGTCGATCACATGAGAAAGAAGAAAAAGTACCCAGTATTTTGTGGATAAAGGAAAAATAATCCAATAAAACAGACAATACATCTGGCTTTGCTGTGTTGGTTTCAGTGCTATTTTTAGGGACCGCAGCACTCAGTCAGAGCAGCTCTCAGTGAGACT